AAAATGCATAGTTACCCCTACTGATGACATGTGGAGACATTGTAAAGGACAAAAGTTGCAGGTGTGATTTCCTATGGTCAAGTTAGCTGGTTCCAGGCAATTCTCCAGGGAGACACAATTAGCACCATGGTTTGTCTTTTCTGGTTATCTGGAGGGCAAAATTGTTCCTCATTATGACCACAAGGTGTCAGTAGAGTCAACTGTGTAGAAACTGAAAAAGGCCATTAATTCTAAAATCTTTCTCTGCAGCAAAGGGAAAACAAGTTTATTAACACAGTCTGGGACTCCCTGTTTAGAGAGTTCTACAGACTTTGTTGAAGAAATAGAAGATTTGATGAGAACAATAAGGTTCAAAGTCCCAGAGGTGTTTTCGGGTTAACGTTTATTTTAGTCTTGGAGGACCAAATCGAAATAGGGAAGTAAAAGGAGAAGGGAAGAAAATGGAGAATAAAACTCAAGTTAACTGAGCATCTTCTATGTGTCACATTTAATGGTAACTGCTTTACAAATGTTATTTCAGTACATCGTCATATCTCAAGGTAGATGCCACTCTCATTTGACTCAGGCTGGAGGGGCGTTGCTACTTGAAAGAAAACGTATGGATGGCTGACTTAGCAGTTAGGTTGAGCTTGGGGTAAAGAGTGGCTTTGAGTGCTGCCTAAAGAGCTGTCCACCTTCTCTGATAAAGAAACCAAAGCAGAAGAAAATCCCAGGAGGGACCCTGGATATCAGAAATTTTACAGGTGGCGAGGGGTGAGGAACAAAGCTGGAGAGGGAGCACAGTAGATAAATACATCAGTTGTATCTTCTGGGTCATATTCCTGCCCTGTGGCGGGAAGGTGGCACCATGTGATTGACACTGGAGAGATAAGAGTTCTCACAGGAAGGTCTCTCTCTCTCACACACACACATTTATTGTCTACATTCTTTTAGGCAGAATAAGGTATTCTTTATTCTGTGCTCCAATAGTGTTTGGTGCCTTGTATGACAATTTCATTGTCGTCTTTGTTTCCCCTATTTGACTATAAATTCCTTGAAGCCAAGGAGCATATATTATTCACCATGATAACCCTGGCATCAAACCCAGTGTCCAGTGCCCAGTAAGTGTCAATGAAAGTGGTGTGTCCACAGTAGGTGAATAACAAAGAGAAATTGTGTGGGAGGGAGGAGAGCAGAGGACAGGGAGTAGACATCATGAAGAGAGAGTTTGCAGAAAAAGCTAAAACCGAAGGAACTAACATTCCAGTTCCAGACTGGGAAAAAAACAGCAGGGAAATTGAGCCTCAAAGGTCTGATACAGTGAGTATGACCCCTGCCATGGTGGGTCAGGGCAAGGAAAACATGACAAGATCTTTCAAAGAAACGGAGTTCATCCGAAATTGAGAAAACTTTTCTACGCCTGTGTGTGCTTCTGTGTGTGTGCGTGCTGAGGCTTAACATTTATACTTGAACAATTGTTCTTTCTTACTGTGAATTAAGAAAAAAGTTATGAACTAGTTGTCTCTTATGAACAGAGAAGTGTTCCTGGTTAGCTTCTGTTTGCTTATTTGTTTTGTTTGAATATTTGATGGTGAGAAAAAGGCTGTTCAAATTCAGGTTTATATCTATCATTGTTGAATTACTCTGTGTTTAAAGGAAAAATAGAAAACTCAGTTTTCAAATAAAATATGCACTCAAATATTTTTATTTGGAAGCCAGCTACTTTTATACACCCTAATCTTCATCATAGGGAGCTTGTCTCCATGAACTAATGAGTAAAGTACATGTGTTAAAACACTAGTGCCTATTATAAAGGAGTCTGAACAACCCAAAAACTCAGTTAACTCATGTTGACAATTAAGGGGTACAAGAAAAAATGTCTCCTTTGCATCACCAGGACCCACTGAATCATCATCATTCTGCCTAGTTTTCTGAGGACCATATATGACTATTGGAACAGTCCAGGAAAAGGTAATTTATAGCTCTGTGCTTTTGTTGAAGTCAGTGTAAGGCAAATCAAGAGACCCTCATTCAACATATATATTCAATGAGAAGAAAACAATTTTTAAAAATGTTCATTGCCTAACAAGCTCACATTTGGAAACTGAAACTTTGCATTTTAGATAATTATTAGGTTTTCTATATTATCCTAAAGACCAACTTTCTGATGAATATTCCACAAACACCCCCCGCCCTTTTTCCTAAGGATTCTATAGCTCTTGATATCCAGGACCACTCTTCTTTGAGGTCGTGCTGGATACATCCTTGTGACTCTGAGGCAGGAAACGCACAACCTAAAAGAAACAAAATATACCTTCAGACTTCACTCAGGTTCAACTTTTTATATATATTAAATAT